ACTATGTAATTTGTTACACAAAAAAAATGTACCATCGAGATCATATGAAAAATGATCTATGTACACTCTACCCTTAAGGTTAGCCTTCTTTAAAACTTTGACACTCAGTAAATAGATGCTTGGAATCTATTCTCTAAAGTACAACTCCCAGATTTGTTGATTACTATTGCGGTAAAAGTAATTTTCAGTATTATCAGACATTTTTAGATAAATTTGGGCAGTAAAATATATAAGTATAAAAATTAAACAAAATCACTATAAAGCAACAAACTTTCATAATTTCATTATACTCCTCTTTATAAATAGAATTCGCTCATCTCTGAATAGCAGTACAAATGGTGAAACAATAACAAAAAAGAGAACTACATGCACTTATACTATTTTTTACATTCTTCATTACACTACATTGGCTATAAGGTGACCCTTAGACATGTGGAATGCATGTTAGAGGTCTCAATATCTTCGGCATTACGGCGTAAAGAAAGATCACTAAATACTGTATTATACTTTGCCTGCCCACCTAGTAGAGCTTTTAGTTTTATTAGAGAAACTATAAAAACAGAACTATATATACATTTTAGTTAGAAGGAATAAATTTTAATACTGGCTTTAAAATAGATCTAAAGCTTGGGTATTATTTTTTCTATGAATATTAAAAAAAATAAAATTCAAAAAGATTTGGTTGCACAAATAATATATGTATTATAAGATTATTGTCTGAATTTGAGTTGGAGTACTAATTCTAGAAAAAATTTAATAATTTTACCTGAGTTATATATAATGATAAGCCTTGTGATACAGATAAATTTTATATGCAGAATAATTCTAACAAACACACATTAAATGAATATTTTGTTACGTAGATAATTATATATCGATTTTAATTTATTTTTATTAAGAGTAGAATATACGTAGATCATTTTTCATATAATCTATATGGTATCACAGATTTTTATATAGAAAATAAAAATTCACTACAAGCAAAACTTTTTAATGCTTTAATAAATTTTTACCAAAATTTCATAACATGCAGACAAGAACTTCTATTTATAGTAATAATAGTTTCGAAATTTGTTTTATTTAAGAAAATTCTACTTCATATATTACTAAAGTTTTCTGAGAAGCTTCTATATTTTTCTGGGGTTACACAAGAAATTGCTAATTTTGATTGGTCAAATCATATGATGTTTACATGTAAATCATATGATATCATATAAAATTGGTTATACAAAGTTGATCTACAATCTATTTTATATGAAATTAGAAATTTGTACACTCGACCCTTAAACGGTAATTATTTGAGAATTATCCTTAGTAATTTTGTTTATTTTTATGTGTAAGTATATTATTCTGATCTTTCATCTTTTACAAAAAAATAATACATAACAAAATTTATATACAAAAAATTAATCTAATTAACCAATTTGGGTTAGTATACTTATTGCACGGGTCTTATGTGACAACCTGTGCTTTTTTCATTTACTTATTGGCACAGGATTGTTATGTCAGACACTGTGCAATAAGATTGTTATTGTATGGGTATAGATAACCCAGTTACATACACAGGTTCATATTTAAATCCCGTGCCTTCGACACGGAATATGAACCCATGTATAACTGGGTTATTTACTACATACCTATACAATAACTATAAATTATCATTATTACAGTATTATGCCCCGTATTATAAATAAATTATGTATACACAGGTTGTTCAATAAGTCTTAAATAAATTATATATAATAAGATTGGTAGAGTTATAATTTTATTTAGTAAGCGAATTTTTGAAATTATTAATATACACTGTTAAAACAATTTTTTTAATAATTTGGCATTTTATATACCTTGGCTGTTCTAGTTTTATTGACCGATCAGTCAACCAAAGTCATGTGATTGTGGTGTAGTAAAGATAACTTATTTAAACTCCTCTTCTATAGCATCAATTTTATCCAAACTTAATTTAGAAATTCTTAATGCCAAATAAATTCTTATCCACTATATTTTATCCTCACCTATGCTACTGAAAAGGGCATAAATTTTTTTTGCTTTTTCTATTCTTTTCTTAATTGCATTTTTCGAGAGGTTAGATAGAAGCTGTTTTTCAACTTCTTTATAAAGTTTTTTTTGAGATCTACGATCTTTATTAGTTTCATATATTCAACTAACCTTTCTTTAAGCTTTTTTCTAAAAGCAAAATAATATATAATAATTTCTTGATTCATACTTTCAACTTGTTTTTTAGCCTTAACAATTGCATTGTATAAATCAGAAAAATTACTTGGGCTTGTGATAAATTCAGCCTGAAAAGTAGTACTATTTGTTAAAGAACTTGGTGATTTTAACTCCTCAATAAGTTTTTTTAATATAGATAAATTTTTATCTTTAGTCTTTACTTTCTTACTAGACAATTTATTTTTAGAGGTATCTTTACCAGGTCTTTTGCAGGATTTTTTTTCTAAAGGGATAGTGCTTTGGCCTGTTGGATGATTACCTTCACTGTCTCTATTATCATCTATATTCGGCATATCTTCTTCTAGAATTTTTGGTATATCTTGAGATTGAATACTATGTTTTTCCATTCTTCTAACTACTGATGATGTACTTGATTCAGAACCCTTCTACCCTCTATTTCGACAATTTCAACTCCTCACTACAACCAGAAAATTGATATATATTTGGCATTGTAAGTAAAAGTTTTTTTTTAATACAAAGTCTATGAAATATATGTTCACAAGATAGTGTTGTAAATGCTTTAAGAAGATGTGAAATAATTTTTTTTTTTTTTTTTGTTTTAAGATGACCTCTTGGTCACTGTCCTTTTATTCGATTATTGTTAACTTTTACAATATGGTATACACTATACCGTATATATATTTGGAGAGTACAACTAGCCACATGTGCAACTTTTGGTTGCCTATTTAAGTAGTCTCTTATTACTAAGTACTATACTAACTGCTATATCTATAACTCTACCGAGTTATCTATTTAAATTCTCTGTGCCTATATATATTAATCCTCTAACTGAACAAAAATATATTAGTACCCCTTTATTTTCGGATTACTAACTTAGAACTTTAAGACAGACTCACCTATAGGGTTCTTTATCATTGAGGTAAACCTGCTAGAGCTTTCTGTACCCACAATCCGGCCAACCTAAACTTCAATAACTTATGCCAAGTCTGAGGACAAGTACTTGCGAGCTGAAGCCACTACCATTACCTACTTCTGCCCTTGTAGAGTTCACCCAAACTCCAGCACACACTTTACGGACTAGCACTGACTTTTCTTCATCAACAGCGTTCTAAACTCCCAATCCAGATAGCCCAGGGAGGGACCAGTAGGTGTCCTCTTGGTATTCTGATTGAATCTTTTTTCCTTGTCTATACAGGGCCACTTCTATATATATACGGCCTGGTTGGTATTAGTATCTTGTCAAACACCTGGTCCTCGTCTAGTTTACTGCTGGTGTCTGATTACTGATGATCATCCTTTACATAGTACCATCAAAGATTTGTGCTATCTCTCTACTCAGGACTTGCCAAGCATGATTCTGTATGCTCAGCTCTTAGATTTACACAAATGTTTCACTCGGGTTTCATGTAACTCTTGCATCACACTATAGTTTCATATTCTTCTAGTACAAGCTGATACGACCAAAGCTACAAATCCGATGATCCATCAGATTACACACAGTCTACCGTAATACATTCCTTAAATTCGAATTTCATCGCTGGTAGGATTCAAACTCTTGTCCTGCTGCTTGGGGGTGCAACAACTTACCAACTTTACTAAGTCGCCACATCCTAATAATTTCTTTTCTACATTCTGAACAATTACTTAGATCTATAATTTTTTTACTTTTAACAATACCATCCTTTAGGGTTTTTAAAATATTATATGTGAGATTTTTGATATAAATAATAGGAGTAAATGGTGCAGAAGAAGTAGTAGACATATTTTAATTACAACTAAATAAGTTTTATATAACAAAATTTCTTATACTTAGCTTATTAATATAGTTTATTCCTCATGACTAACAAACTTAATTTGCAGATTTTTTTTAAAAAAAAAATTTGGATTTAGCGATTTATTCATTTATAAATTATCAATCTTCACTAGCAATTGTAAATAAAAATTTTAACATCATACACCATGCAAGGCTAAAAGAAAAAAGAAAATTTTAAAAAGCAAAGCTCCATTACTTCGCAATAATGATACAGCATCTAAGTTCTCATATTCTTCTTCATTCAGGTTTGGGACTAACTCTGAATCGTCTAGCTACAAAATAAATATCTTTAGCAACAATGATAAAGATTTTACTATGAATGTGATAAAAGTAAAAAAGCGTGATTAGTTCTTATCATAAAGTTAAAATGGTCTTGCTTGATTTAGAGATTGTCTAATTTTTCTGTAATTTACTATAACATAGTTTTGTGCAAAAGAAGTATTATTGTCAGGATTGTATCAAAGTGCTTGACCAACAATTGTCATAGCATGTGCTAAATTCTTTGCTCCATGTACTACCACAGCATATACAGCTCCTATTTTATGTAAATGATAAGGAATTAAATCATAGTCTTTTAAGAATCTATTGAACCATTTAATCTTTGACTTACCTGGATCACCTATTTAACCAGAAGATATAGTATTTTGTATCCAGGTTAGTAATTCTTTGGCTCATTCTTGATTCTTTTCTATAGATTTAAATTTTTAGGAATGTCTAGCTGTCCTCTATTCTTCGCAAAGCCTGTTACTCCAATGTCTGTAATGTGTAAAGTTGTAAGTTCAGCGGGGCATATACAAAGCATTATTATAATATCTGTAAGAGCTTATAAATCGAATTTGGATAGAAATATCATACTTATTTAATTTTTCTTTAATTGATTCTAATGTAAAGTAGTTTGGATAGCCAATTCTCTTGAATGTCTCAACAAAATTTCGTCGATTCTGCTGTATTTCATTGGCTTTTTCTGTAATTTTAGGAAATTTTGTAGTATCAATTATTGCAGGTAAAGCACCAAGACTTTTTAGTTCTTTTTGAAGCTGAAAAAATATTATAAACCAGCATTAGTATTTTTTGCTAATAGGGCTACAGCTCTTATATCCCAAATACTAAGCTTATCCTGTAAAAGCCAATGTGCTAAACTTCTATAGTTCTTCTGAATTTTGTGGAGTTGGATAAAGAATTTAGTAACTATCAGAAGTTGCAAGATTTATGACTTTAGTTTTACTACTTCTCTAGTTGGGTATTAATATACTCACCTGTTTACTACTAAATTTAAAGCCATCCTGAAGGCATCTGTATGCCTGATTCTGCTTTCTATCATTAGTAAGATTCTTGAAAAACTCTGAAATGTATTTACTGAGATTGGTCACACCTATTCTAGAGCTGAGATTGTATTTTTTTATAATTTTAGTTGTGATGACTGATATGATTAAATGTTATAGTAGGTCAAGTAGGTTATATACACTATAGAAAATATTTTTTCAAATCAAAATTAATTATGCTTTTTTCTCCTATACCCAGAAAATAAAAGTTTATATATATCTATAGAGTAACTAGGATGTTAATTTAAAATTTGAGGGTGTGGCGCTTTAGTGTAGTTGGTAGGTTGTT